TTTGATATAAAAATTTATTAAATAACAGCTAAAAACCAACGGAATTGGTAAGTATTTAAGTTAGATACTATTTTATAAACAAAAATTAATAATATTTAAAATAGTTTATATTATGAATAAAAATATACAATTAGTTTGTGAATTTGAATTTAAATTAAATTTTAACATTAATTACTAAAATTTTAATTACTTATTATTAATTGTTAGTTTAAATTTACAATTTACAAATTAATTATGATTTTTATTTATAATAAATTTATTTTAGTAATTAATTATTTCTTATTTTTAATATTAATTATTATTTAATGATTTTATTGTAATTTAAAATAAAAACTTTGCTACACAGATATGCCATTTTTGCTACACAGAGAAAGGAGATGGAGCGATGAGATAGCAAGAAGTTTCGAGAAGTAAAAGAAATTAACTTTGCCTGACATAAGAATGGAGTAAACAAAAATAAAAATTAAACGTCCAAACTTGCTTAAAACATTTAAGGATTAAAATTACCGTTATATTAAATAAATTTACTAACGTTAGAATTAGAAGCTTTTTTATATCTAAGTAATCATACAGTTTTTAAATGTTTTTATTATATTATAAGTTAATAATATATGTATATTGATTAAGTTAATATAAGAAAAATAAAAATAAATAATAAAAATAACTTAATATTAACTATAAAAACTATAAACATAATATAAAAAACTGTATATGTTTCATATAAAATATTTTAAAATAAAAGTTACTTCTAAAAAACCAGTTAATAATTACATTTATTTTAAAAACCAGTTANCTTTTTACGTCGAATTACAATTCTAAACGACGTTTAATAATTGCATTTATTTACAAAAATGTCACCGTTCACTTTTAACGTTAGTTATCCAGTGGTTCGACGTTGAACGCGTGACGTTATACGATTTTTTTCTACTGGTGAGCATATTGAAATAAGTGTTGTATTATAGTCATATGATAAGATATATTGAAAAACAAATTGTTTTTTCTACCTTTATTGGAGTTTTTACACGTTCTCAACACCTTTTTTAAGTTGTGAATTTGCTTCTCTTTCCCGTCATGCACGGTGGCACATGTTATCTCCTCTCAAGCAGCGATTTAGAGCGTCAAGATCACTCTTTTTCCTCTTTCAAGTTTGTCGTGCACGGTCGCATGTCTCGTATCCTCTCAGGCAGGTATTCAAACCATCGATGTCGCTCTTTTTTCTCTTTCAGGTGCTTTGATTGGAGAATCTTTGATTTGTAAGGTTTCTCTATCTTGTTCATCAATGGCTTTTTCCACTACTATCTCTTCTGATCTCCCTTTTGTTATTATTGCGTTTGACTCGTCCATATATTTTTTTCTCCAATGGAAAAGACGACTTTTGTTAGTTTATTTATAGCCGTGGTGACTCTTTAACAATAACATCTTTATCCATTAGATGTCAACAATGTATTTCTCAATGGTAATTTGCAAGAACATATTTATACGGAGCAATCTCCCAGTTTTGTTGCTTAGGGAAGTCTTCTGAATTGATATTTATCTTTTATGTTGTCTTCACAAATCATTAACAATTTAGTGTCACTTGAATGCAGAAATAGATATTTTCACTAAGTTTTTATTGATTATATTATAACAAGTTTGATACATACGAATTTTATGCACTAGCTTGAGAGTGAGTGCTAAATATATTATCTTTATCTTATCTTTTATCTTTAATTAGTTTGTTATTATTCTTTATTTGTATTTTAAGTTNCTTATATGAAACATGTTAAAATAACTATTAATGTTTAAAAATTTAATGAACAATTATATTTTAAAGGGTAAAATAGGAATGATAAATTTGTGCACAAATTTTTTAATACATAGTAATAGATAAGTGTAAAACGGAAATGAAATGTTTACACTAAAGAGGCGGTTAAAAGAACCAATCTTCTTTATGTATAATTATTATTGAAATAAAAAAATATTATATAATAATATAAAATTATACAATTGATAAACACAAACACAGATAAATAAAATATGTATATAATGTATTATAGTCATCATATAAATATATTGAAATAAGTACAGTCACTCGTATAAAAATCACTTACAACGTCGAATATTTTGGACTTTTAACAGTGAATTCGCGAACGATATCCTATTAAGATACATTAAATTTACGTCGAGTTTAAAAAAATCGATGTTAAATTAGCGTCGAATTTTGTTATTATATGACGTTAATCAATGTTTTTTTTGTTTTTTAATTAACTGTGATCCTTTTTTACAACTTTACAAGACTTCAAAAGCAAAAAAACAACAAATTTGCATAAACTATGAACGTGTAGCGTAGTATCAACAGTAAACAATAATAACCAACAATAAACAAGTTCAATCAAACAACAACAATAAACAAGTTCAACTAAACAACAACAACAAACAAGTTCAACAAAAAAAACAAGAAACAAGTTCAACAAATAAGTTCTTCAAACCGAAAACGAAAACGAAAACTAACCTTCAAAAAGTGGGTTCGTCGGAATAAAGTTTCATCACAGTGAGAGAGAAAGCAGAATGCACCTATGAACGATAAGACCACGAAAATAATCGGTTAAAACAAACAAAAACCATACCTAAAGTAATTAATTAACATGCATTTGTATAAAACGAAAGAAAAATTACATGTGATGCTCGTCAAACTTCGTTCGAGAAAAGTTTGAGAAGAGAACAGGATATCACGCGCTAAGATAAAGTAAATGAATTTTCAATCTCCCGCTCAAATTTTTATTGAATTCGCTAACCTTTTGACGTCGAATTTAAAAGTCATTCGACGTGTTATATCTTTTTACGTCGAATTACAATTCTAAACGACGTTTAATAATTGCATTTATTTACAAAAATGTCACCGTTCACTTTTAACGTTAGTTATCCAGTGGTTCGACGTTGAACGCGTGACGTTATACGATTTTTTTCTACTGGTGAGCATATTGAAATAAGTGTTGTATTATAGTCATATGATAAGATATATTGAAAAACAAATTGTTTTTTCTACCTTTATTGGAGTTTTTACACGTTCTCAACACCTTTTTTAAGTTGTGAATTTGCTTCTCTTTCCCGTCATGCACGGTGGCACATGTTATCTCCTCTCAAGCAGCGATTTAGAGCGTCAAGATCACTCTTTTTCCTCTTTCAAGTTTGTCGTGCACGGTCGCATGTCTCGTATCCTCTCAGGCAGGTATTCAAACCATCGATGTCGCTCTTTTTTCTCTTTCAGGTGCTTTGATTGGAGAATCTTGGATTTGTAAGGTTTCTCTATCCTGTTCATCAATGGCTTTTTCCACTACTATCTCTTCTGATCTCCCTTTTGTTATTATTGCGTTTGACTCGTCCATATATTTTTTTCTCCAATGGAAAAGACGACTTTTGTTAGTTTATTTATAGCCGTGGTGACTCTTTAACAATAACATCTTTATCCATTAGATGTCAACAATGTATTTCTCAATGGTAATTTGCAAGAACATATTTATACGGAGCAATCTCCCAGTTTTGTTGCTTAGGGAAGTCTTCTGAATTGATATTTATCTTTTATGTTGTCTTCACAAATCATTAACAATTTAGTGTCACTTGAATGCAGAAATAGATATTTTCACTAAGTTTTTATTGATTATATTATAACAAGTTTGATACATACGAATTTTATGCACTAGCTTGAGAGTGAGTGCTAAATATATTATCTTTATCTTATCTTTTATCTTTAATTAGTTTGTTATTATTCTTTATTTGTATTTTAAGTTAATCTATATTTCTTCTATTATAAATAGATTACTCTTGTTTTTATTATATTTAATATATATATATATATATATATATAATAATTTATTTTAATTTTATTATATTTTGTCTCTGTGGCATCCTAAAAGTGTTGTACACATGTTTGGACACTCTCAAAATACTTACTAAAGATCTACCATGGAAGATCTTGAATTTAAAGAAGTTGATCTTGGATACGAAGAAAACAATCTTGGTGAAATTATGTTGGTGGAGAAGAAAGGATTAGAGAATGAGAAAATGGGTGGCTACCTCCTAATGATATTAACACTAATTTTAAAACAAAAAAATCACATTATCTCTGTTTAAAAAAATATAAGAATTCAATTGAATAAAAACAAAATATATTAAGACTAAATTAATGGTTAAACTTTTTGTGATCACAATCCAAATATGTAATTCACACCAATATGAATGGACCACTTTAATTAACAAAAATTATTAAACTTAATTAATTCAAAAATAAATATAAAAACCAAACTAATAACGGATCAAATTACTAATTTTGTAATATACATATAAAAGTATATTCTTAAAAAAAAACTTTTTAAATGATATACTTGCTTTTTATATAAAAAAATATTCTTAAATATTGTTTTAATTATTATAAAATTCATGATTTTGATTTTGATATTTATAAGAAAATTCCTATATTTTTCATTTCTATAAAAATAAATATTTTAATTCTTATGAAATTTAGTTTTAGTCTCTTCAAACTATTTTTATTTCTCGAAATTTTGAAATTAATATACTTTTAGTCTTTACAGATAAATTAAGTTCAAAAGTTTATAAATGTATCATATGTTAGCATTATCATCACAAATTAGTAAGCGCCACTTTGAAATAACAACTTTACTCTCTTTTTTTCATTAGCACATAAACACGTAATTAGTATCACATAATAACATGAATGAAAATAATAATTTCCAATTTCGGAAAGAAATTACATAAATCAAAATCAAAACTGGTTAATTTGATTTAGGAAGTAAGAAAAAAATATATAAATAAGCCAAACTGAACTAATCAATGATAAATTTTTCATTTTATTGGAAAAATATGACATGGATTTGAGACAAATTATAAAACACAAACCCAATCACACTAATAAAGCTATATATACATAAAAGGTAAATACATTATTCAATTAAAAAATTTAATTAAGTTTTTTGTATAAGAAGATTGGTCAAATCATTTTTGCATTAGAATGGTTGTTTCTGAAGCCAGCCATCAGTGTCAATGAACTTGGTGCTTGTCATATTCTGAATTGTTTCTAAATCCAACTTCTTGGTCCAACTCACTCTTTGAGAAGTGTCAGAACCAGGCCCAAAGTTCCCATACTCTGCAAATGTTATGCCACTCCTGCAAATTTTTATACCCAAACCATCATATATATAGAAAAAACGTTGTTTTAACAATTTTTTTTACAACTTTTTTACAACGTCTACGTAATACATTTCGAAGAATTCATTTCGAATATTTTTTGAAAATAAATTCAAATAGATCAATAAAATAATAATACATGGTCTATTATCAAAAAATTATTATGAAAAGTTACTAATATTATCAGAGTTCATATATATATATATATATATATATATATAAAGGCTTAAATGCTTACTTCGTTCTCATGTTAAAAGGTGAATTTCTGTTTAGTACCCAATTTTAAAAATAAAGACATTGGGTTCCTATGTTATGAAAAGTGTATGAATAAGGTCCTATCCGTTAAGTTGACAGCAACGACGTTAAGTCCATGCTGATGTGGCCATACTTTTTCTCTTTTCTCTTCTGCTATTCAGTTTTTTTCTCTCTTGCTCAGCTTTTTTTGTTATGATTTGTTGAACTTGTTCTTTCTTTGTGGACCTTATTCATATATTTTTCATAACATAGGGACCCAATGTCTTCATTTTTAAAACCGGATACTAAACATAAATTTACCTTCTAACATGGGGACGAAATAAGCATTTAAGCCATATATAAATAAAAGATGTGTGAGAGAATAGAAGAAAATTGATTATGGCACATTTAAATTTTTTATATTCATTTAACATTATTTTTTATTTATTTTTTTTTTTGAAAAAGTTATGTTTTCATCTTATATTATATCAAATGAATGTAAAAGTCTCTTATAATAACATTATTTGGAATAGAAACATACTCGTTTGGAGCAAATTTCCATGCATCCCAACCAGCAGGTTGTATAACGTTGGAGAAGTTGGTCTTGTAAAACAAAACCCTAGCATGACTTCTCCATGGCCTCCCCAAGTAAGTTGTTCCATTTCCAAAGACATGAGAATCAATGAAAACAAAGCCATTTTCGTCTTGTGAATGTGTTCTCCCTTGTGCTGTGATGAACCCTGGTAACCCAGGATCTAGTGCTCCACCAATCACAGATATGGAACACCTCTGCCAACAACATATTCATCAAACAATTTTTCTACGATATATAACACTTAATTATTAATATTATTGTTACCTCAAATAATGATTGGCCTGCACCGAAGATAAAATCAATGGCACCTTGAATGGTGCAAAGCTTGTAGTAATGTCTTCCTCTGTCGTCCCATAAAGTGTCTTGCAAACCGAAGAAACCAACTCTCAAAAAGTAAGACTTGTCTCCACTCACCATTGCTGCCACAGCAGGCTTAATGGCTTTACTGTTTATTGGGTTGTTGTATGAATTCTGTCATTAAAGACAAAGCTTAAACAAAAAGAAAATATATTTTTAACAATTTTTTTTACGACCCTTTTAAATAACTTATAATTAGTCTATTTCAAATATATAAATTAATAAAATAGTGATATATAATCTATTATAAAAAATTGTTAAAATATCATTATGATGATGAAAAATTCATATCACACTAATATTAATTTAATAAGATAAGTTAACATTTCTAGTTCACCAACTTTTAAATAAATATCATTATTATATAATTTTGTGAAAACAAAAAATTAATCTTTATAATTAAATTTCAATATTTAATTACAATTTTCACTATAACAACTAAAGATGTATCTTTTTCTAAAAGAAAAATCGGCAAACCCTTAGTTATTAACTTTTCTAATAAATAAAAGAAATTAGTTTTTTTTTCTTCGTAAAAAAAGACAAAAGTAGGATTTTCAATTCATAACATCATTGATTCATTGACCTAGGTAAAAGTAAGCAAATATCATAATATTTAATAGACTATTCCATGCCTAATAATATGTATTTATCTCTCTTAAATATACATGAATTGAGCAAATTATCACCAAATATTTGGCTATAATGGCTTAAATAAGGAAAAATATTAAAAAAATCATAAATAACTAAATCAAAATTTAAAGGCACGGGAATAATTTAATTAAGGAAAAGGAAAATAAAGAGGCAATAATATTAATTTAACCTAAAAAGAGAGAAAATGAAAGAGTAGATAGAACATTCTTACCCTAAAGCTCATGGATTTGACAACAACGTTGTCAGCCATGGCTACAAACGTAGGACTCTGTGAGGTATTATCATGGTCATCCCACTCAACAAAAGTTCTTCTCTTTCCCTCTCCTTTCAATATGATGTAAGGCTTATCATAAGGAATCTTCACTTTTTCTCTGAAACAAAAACAACATAAAAGCATTCACATTAATCCAGGGATTCACACAATCAACAAAATTATTAATTATAGTATCATCACACCCTAATTACACCACAAAAATATTCATGTACTAATGCAAGAAATGATGAACATATATATATATATATATATATA